GGCGCGCTATCCTCGAAGGCAGGGACGTGTTGGCGCAAGGACTTATTAAGAGAATTGGATCCGGTTTGCACACTAGCATATGGGGCCAGAATTGGTTGCCGAGGGACTATAAGCTCAGACCAATTTGTGCTCGCTCGACCAACCCACCAGTTTGGGTTTCAGAACTAATTGACCCCATCACTAGGGTGTGGAATAAGCAAACTCTCATGGAGCACTTCATTGCACCTGATGTAGAGGTCATACAGAGTATACCCCTCAGTACACGGACACAAGATGACTTTTGGTCATGGCATTATGACAAGAGAGGTGTGTTCTCCGTGCGCTCGGCATACAGAATGATCGCAGCGGTCAAAGCCCAAAGGGAGGACTGGTTGGATCACCGACCGGGCCACTCGAATATTGCAGCGGATAAGAAATCATGGACTCAGCTATGGAAGGTGAAAGTTCCTTCCAAAATCCGTGTCTTCGTGTGGAGATTGGCGCACACCTCGATTCCAACAGGTTCAGTGAGGCATGACAGGAAGATGGCCAACAATGCATCATGCTCTATCTGTGGAGCTGGTGATGATACGTGGAGACACTCCCTTCTGAGCTGTCGGATGGCCAGATGTGTATGGGCTTTGGGTGATGAAGAGCTACTTGAACATGTGATATCAAATCAGAGTGAGGATGCGAAGCTTTGGCTGTTTTGGCTGTTTGAAACTACTAATCACCAAGATCTTACCGGGGTTCTCGTCACGATGTGGGCAATTTGGTGGGCTCGCCGGAAAGCTATTCACGAGAACGAGTTCCAAAGTCCGCTATCAACCATGATCTTTATAAAGAGATTTCTGGAGGAGTTGGAGATCGCAACAAGTAATGCACCAAGTGTGCTGCCGGGCCGCCACTTGGTACAGAAGCCACGAGTGTGGTTGCCACCAACAGGAGAAGAAGCAGTAAAGATAAACGTAGTGGCTAAGGGTTTTACCAGACATTGCTTGTATCCCAGACTTGATGATCCTTGAATAAAATCCCTAGTAACCTTCAAAAAAAAAACCAGGTTCATTACGTTAATTACGTAGCAATATTTACATAGGTCTAGCATCTCTCGCATTGTCTCGCCAGGGCGATTTCTCTTTCGTTACAAAACGTAGTTATGGCACACCTTTGGTGCCTCGTTACTGGACCAGCCCAGTACTGTTGATGCCCCTAGTTTTCTTTTCTCTGTGGATGTTTAACCATTTTTTCACTCTTTGCGTTTCTTGCTGGTTTTATCATTTTTTTTCTTCCTTTTCTTCATTTCTTCTGTGTTTTTAATATTTTAAAAAAAGTTCATTTTCTTTTATATATATATTTTTGCAACCCATTCCATATTTTTTGAAAACATTAGGAACATTTTTTACACCCGTTTAGTATTATCAAATAAATGATTTCATTATTTTTTTCAAACATATGTTTCGATATCTATTTTTTTCATATTCACTTGTACATTTTTTTGTTTACAACTAAATCATTTTTTACATATCTTTTTTAAATTACATAATATTTTTACCAATACATATTTTACTTTTTGAATACATGCTAAAAAATCAAAAACACTTTAAATTTTATTTTTAATGATAAAAACATATTTTTATCTATTTAAGCATTTGTTTACCATCTATAAACATATCTTAATAATGCCATGAACATATTTCTGAAACTCATAACATTTTTAGTGAATGCAATGTACATTTCTAATAGTACAAAACATTTTTTTATTACATAAACATGGTTTTGCATTGTATAGCTTTTTAAAATATGTCACACACATTTCTTTTGAAACGCGTGAACATTTTTTAAATGCCATGACATTTTTAAAATAATGCTAATAACTTTTTTACACTGTGCTAACATTTATTAAATTCGTGGTTTATATATTTTTATGTAAATTTTAAGTTCTTCAATATATGCACTCATAATGTTTACAAAAAATGAAGAAAGAAAAAATGAAAAAAAAATAAAAAAAGTGAAAAAAAATGAGAAGAAAGATAAACAAACCTACAACAAGCTACTCCCTCCGTTCCAAATTACTCGTCGCAGAAATGGATGTACCTAGAACTAAAATACATCTAGATACATCCATACCCGCGACAAATAATTTGGAAGAGAGGGAATACTTGGGTCAGCTGGTAAAGATGCCTGATGCAAGTCGAGCTTGTGGCTCATTATAAACGAGACATACCCGGTCTCATATTAGCCGGCCAATTTAATGATTTTTATTGTGTTTGGTTTCCACTGGTTCTCTTATCAGTCTTTTGTGTTTTCTTCAGGATTTCTTTTGTTTCTGGTTTCTAATCTTCTATTTTTCCTTTTTCCTTTTTTAAACATGGGAAAACTTGATTTTTTTAACATCAAAGCACATTTTTAAAATTCACTAAAATTGTAAAGTGCATGAGCCATTTTTTAAACTAGATGAGCACTTGTCACCGTTGTTGGCAGCTCGACCTCTCTTCTTGGAACCTTATACAGATAACTGAGATAACACTAAACCCAAATCCATGCTACTATGTTGGCGTCGATGAAAGGAGAGCCGGTGCAGGAGTGGAACCCGGCGCCGGTTAGGTTAGCACCCGGGCCGCCTACGGGAGCAGCACATGGGCTTGGGGAAAGGAATATATTTTCTAGTAGCACAGTAACCAAATTTTATGGGCTTGCAAAAAAAAATCTATGGTTGCTATTGGTTGCAATCCAAACACACCCTCACCCTTAGCGCCCCCATCTCCTCGTTCAGTGCTGACAGCGAGTTCCCGAGTCCCAAGCTTTGGCGGCTGCTGCGAGGATAGCACCTGCACGGCCGTCCATGTCGGTATCTACCGGTTTTTTGCTGGGTCCTTGCACGCCTTTAGGGTCAGCTTCTCGTACTTTAACCACCAGCACAACGTGCCCCGCTCCTCCACCATCAGGGTCGCGTGTGACTGCACGCAAACAGAAGGATGCAATATACTTTGTCCATCACACAGACAAATATAAGATTGTTTGTTTACAGAGGGAGTACGAGGTAGACCAGAGTAATATCAGACCCTAAAAAAGAATTTAACGAGGTTCAATAATTAATTTTTTTAAAAGTTCTGTTGATGATCCTAGCGAAATCATCATATAGTGTTTTTTTAGAGAATGCCATCACGCCTCACTTTATTAATTTGGCCCTGTTTTGTGACGTGTTTTATCGGTTAGCACGCTCAAAAGGAATACCGTGGATGCCATGAAAATCAAAGCGAAAAGGACAGACAAGAAAGCGGAGGAAGGTGATTAAAGGGGGGAAAACATGGAAAGCACCAGGCAATCCGGCATAAGGTAAACTCAAGCAAAGGCTACTAGCCTATCACTAGTACATTATGGAACGGAGGGAGTTGGAAACAAAATCGAGATCCCACTTGTGAAAATGATGAGCCAATACAAAAGTGAAAACAATTTGATAGAACAATGACAAGATGAAGCAAACAGTGCACTGCGTGCAAACAGAGCCAAATGAATGTCAAAGTTAAATCCCTGCATGAAAAAGAAAACATCTGCATGCATGCAAATTGCCAACAAAAGTTCGGCTGTGCACAATTCAGCATGTTGAGTCGGTGACTACTGCCGAAAGAGGTTCCTTCATGCTAATCCTGACAGGATGAAAGGATAAGACAGGGATAAAGCATGCGAGTGTGGTGTGGCCTAGGGACAAGTTTTTCTTTCAGATCTGAACTGATGGACCAAAAGCTAGCGCACAATGCAGAGTGCAAATGGGACCAAAGCCATAGCAAAGAAATTGCTCCATGCTCCCTAACACAAAAAGTGTTAACACTGTACTAGACAATCCCTCTAACCATCATTAGCAACTCATCATAGTACTATCAAACTCCATTCAGTTGTTGCTTTGCAAAAGTCTTTGTTTGATCAGTCATCTTGGCCACCATCATACGGCCATCATAGTCCCAGAGAATATTCCTCGTCGCAGGTGAAATTAAGTCCCGGTGGCCTGGCTGGCCTACGCTCTGCCTACTGTCCTTAATCCCTCCAATCATCACGACTGGACCTTTTTTCTGTTCTATTGAGAAATCGATTTCAATTATCAACACAGTACTGCTTGTTTCTGAATCGATTATCTTTTCTTTTTCTGAAAATGAAATCGATTACCTCCTTAACCTCCCATCCTAAATCAGCATGGCCATGTCTACGTGTGATCCGAAATATTTTTGCTTACGAATTCGGTTTCAAATTCAACTGCTAATTTTTAAAATCAAAATCAAAATTTTCTCTAAGTTCAGTTGAACATTTAAAGTTTTGGAGAAAAAATACTTGCCCGGGTACACAAAGTCGTATGGCGCTCTGTATGATGATGGTTCGATCTCTGCATATGTTGTGCTTTACACTCGTATGCATAGGAGAAGATCTCCGCGTGGTACTCGTCATTCGTCAACTGACCTCCCCACCTTCACCATCATCTACTGTCATGACGGTCGTTTGTATTGAGTCATGAGCAACCTGGTTGCACTAAGTTATGAACTACCCCCACCGTTCGTAAATACGTATAAGTCTTTTTAGAGATTTCACTCATTTTACTCTGTATGTAGTAATATACATCCGTATTGTAATCCATATTGAAATCTTTAAAAAGACTTCTATTTAGAAACAGAGGGAGTACCGGGTTATCTATACTGTCATACTCATATGTATTACTCCCTCCAATCCAAAATAAGTGTTGCAGTTTTGAAGTCGGTTTTAACCTAGTTCAAAATTGCGACAATTATTATGAATCGGGGGTATTTTCCGAAATGATCTTATTCATTTCAACTTTTTAATCGGATGTACATTATTTTAGGCAAAAGAAAGTATAACCCGCGTCACTCACAATCAGCAATCAACACGACACAAGCCAAAAATATCAACACATCAAAACAACTTTACAAAATGATCAATAAGGAGAAAAGAGGCAAGAGCCTCGCCCCAAAAAAGGAAATCCTTGCTCAATTTTCCAATTTTCCATTAGCCAGTTGCTAGCACATCCAAGGCAAGCCCCTGCCACCCAATGCCTTGTTGCCCTTGACCGCACCCCGGGGCGACAACCTCGTCTTCCCTCTCATTTCTTTGCACACCATCTCCAGCTCCGCCACCCGGCCCTGCATCCGCCGCAGGTTCATCCTCAGCGTCTCCTTCTCCTTCTCGTCGTCCGGCACGACCCGCTTCGGTGTAGGCGACGACAAGGGGTTCTGGTGTGCATTGGGTGGCCGCTGCAAGGACAACGCTTGCACGGCAATCCTCGGTGGGATCCGCCGGTTCCTCGCCAGCTCCTTGCACGCCTCGAGGGTCAGCTTCTCGTAGTTGATGCACCGGCACAGCGTCGCACGCTCCTCAACGGTGAGCTCGGCATGAGACTGTATAGATTCACAAAGACACAAGTATTATACTCTTTCTGCCGCAAAATATAACCAAGGAAGCAATATTTTTAAGATGCATTTTTATTATTTATTTTTATAAATTTCCCAACTTTAGTATGTCATTTGAAAATTGAGATTTTGCCGAATCGCCAAATGTTTATAGGTGGTCATTTATTTTAAACATAGGCAGTACACCACACACGCTATATGTAACATGTAATCCAGTAGCCAAGAGTTTAAAGAATTTATCGGCGTTTGGTGAACAGAACTTTATAGGTTCCGTACCGGTGGCTAGCGAGTGCACGGAATGCCGTGGTCGGGAGGGAAACTAAAGCAGAAAGAAGAGACAGAAAGCGGAGGAAGGTGGTTAATTAAAGGAAGAAGACATAGGAAGCACACCAAAAGCAATCTGGCACAAGGTATGTATACTCGACCAAACAAAGGCTAACAGTAATAACACAAAGGCCAAATCTCAGTTCTGAAATGATTGGAGCTCTGTAAAAGAACTGAACTTCAAGCAGAGCAAAGTGCTGCCAAACATGTGTTGTATGTAACTTGGTGAAAGCAGAGCCAAAGTTCAGAGTTGTTGCAAGTGCAGTTTTCTGAATTATCTTAAACAGAGATGAAATTTTCAGCGTGTTAAGAGGATAAGGCATGATGGATGGATAATAAAGCGGACATTGGTAGTTAGTGTGGTCTCTGGTGACAAGGTTTCGAGATCTGATCTGATGGGCCAAAAAGGGCTAAAGCCATCGCAGCGCAAAGAAAATTGCTTCCATACTCCATGACACGAAAGTGGTACACACTCCACCTGTCCATCTCTATCATCACACTCATGGTGATCATATTGCTGGTACCAAACTCTATTCGGCTGCTTTGCAAAAGACCTCGAGTAACTAATACTACCATCGACTTAGGCATATGATAATCTGTACTGTAGTTAACTTGGTTATATAGGCAGACTAAAAAGTGTTCGCTTTTCTTCATTTTCTGTAACAAATTGGACTAAAAAATGTTAGCAACTTGGTCACAAACAGCTCTCATAACCTGCACTAGTTTGCCTGAAATCATCATGTGAATGTGCACAGTGCCAGGTGAAAATCTTGGTGTCTGTCTGCCCTCTCTGACCAGCATGGAGGGAAAAAGCACTGCCATGGCAGAGAATACTGTACTAAAATGTTCATGATTGGCCTCTCATTAGCTAGACAACAACTACACCAAACTTCTTAATCATGCTCTAGATCATCATGAGCACGTATGATCCGAAATATTTTCTGCTTGAAATCTGAATCGAATTTTCTTAAAATACAGCCCAACATTTGAAAATTGAAGAAAGGTTCTTAATCTTACCTCGAGGTAGATGTCCAGTGCCCTGTACACGCCGTCGTAGCAGTCCCTGGCGGAGTCCGGCAGGCTCTCGGCGACGGCGAGGAACCGGGACACCCGCAGCACCTGGTCTGGCGAGATCTCCGCCAGGTACTTGTCCACCAGCCGCCCCGCCTTCCTCATCCTCTGCGACGACGACGGCGAGCCGTCCTCCTCGACGGAGCCCACGAACACCCTCACGAGCCGCATGACCAGGCTCACGTCGTACACGCCGCCGCCGTCGCCGGACACGAGGAGGTCGTCGAGCGTGGCCTGGTCCAGCATCCGCCCCACCAGCGTCTCCAGCCTGCGCCTGCATTCCTTGCTCAGCCCCGCCGCGGACACGGTCCGCAGCGCCGAGAACAGGCCCCGGCACGAGAACGCCCCGCCGCCGCCGGCCAGCGCCACGCCGTGCACGGCCGTGTCGGCGAGGCCGGCGAGGACGCTGCCGCCAGAGCCCGAGTCGTCGGCCTTGCGGAGCGTGGCGCCGCGGCGGAGGTAGTGCAGCAGGAACCGTGTCAGCGTCAGGTTCTTGTTGTCGGCGCCGTAGCAGCCGAGCACTTTCATGGCCTTCTCGACGGTCGGCGGGGACAGCGACGCCACGTCGTCGAACCACCACTCCCGGCCGCCGCTCAGGCACGACGGCTTCACCGACTCCGTCGTCTTGGCCGCGGACGACGGCCGGCTGCCGACCGTGTCCAGCGACGAGGACGAGCACGTCGACGACGTGGAGCAGTTCGACTTGGGCGTCTCCGCGCCCGTGTCGATCCTGGAGAACAGAGCGGAGAGCAGCTTCTCTTGGAGCCCCGCCCCCGAGGCGTCGGCGGCAAAGGACTCGCAGCTCCTGACGGCGGCGAGCACGTCGGGCCACGTCCAGTAGCAGAGCCCGTCGTCCACGAAGGCCTCCGCCTGAGCTAGCAGATTGCCGGCGCGCACCTCCTCAGTCATCTCCAAGAACGCGGCGGCGCAGTGCAGGAGCGGGACGTCGGCGGGGCGGAGCGGCGGGAGGCGGCCATCGCCATAACAGAACCGGGCCACGAGCTCGAACCCCTCGCCACCTCCCGGGAAGCCGTCGAGCTCAACGGACATCAACGCCGCCGCCGCCGCTCCTCTGCCCGACTTCACCCTCGTCATCTTCCCCTTCCTCTCCCGCGCCGCCATCGCCCTCAGCCTCCCCGAGAAGGCGCACACGACGCTCTGTCAAAGTGTCACCCAACCAGTCATATCAAACTGAACTGCAAGAATTTCCTACAATCGAGAAACGAGACATGTTTTCTCGATCGATCCAAGGCAGACAGATGCCTACCTGGTGCAGAAGGAGCGTGTGGCGGCCATTGACGTGCACCGTGAGGTCACAGGCGTCGTCCATGGTGCTTGACGTGGGAGACAACAAACCACCAATGGAAGCAATGGACGTCGCACCCGGAGAAGTAAACCGGAGTGGTACTACAATATATCTCGGGAGGCGAGGGCCGAGAAGATTTGCTCGTTCAGTTCAGCCGCGAGTCACAGGCACACAGTGCGCTCGTCCGGCTTAAAGAAAGCAGGTTCGTTCAGAGTGCTGAGTGCTGGTGCGACATGTATCCCCATGTGCATGTGTACCAGTGGAAGGGAAATCTACGGGGGAGCGGCTCATGATTCCCAGGAAGAAAACAAGCCGGCGTTTTGGCCTTGGTAGGCTCCGCGTCCTCTGAACTCTTTATAGTGCCGGTGTTGGCCGGGCTCATCAGAGATCGATCAGAGCGGTGGTGATTGGGGTAGTAATTGATTGAGGGGAAAGAGGACGCCCCGCCTTCTGAGCGCACTAGAGCAAGCAGACAAAATGTCGCCCCAGAGCTCGCTCTGTTGTGGATGATGAGTGAATCCAATAGAACAGTGGCGCTGCGTGGGCTCAACCTTAGCACTGTGCAGGGAGATGCTTCACAGGTAATTTCAGGATCTGCATGGGCGGGCATCGGTCGACTGATGACTTTGCCACTGCAGCTTCACATCTGAGCAATGTATGCATGCATGCATGCCACAGGATCGTCTTCGGCTCTCCTGCGCCGGTTCATAATGTTACTACTTACTAATCTGGCCAGACATGCTGTGCATGCAACACTGTTTTCAAAACTGAAAAAGAAAACCTGCCTAGAGAACCCTGTACCGGGGGGAAACTGAGCCTCCTTACATCGCATGACACATGTACTCCGTGTTAAACTCCCCCGTGAGCGCGGTTTTGTCATGATCCAATCATCCAATGCAACTGCCCGGTCTCCATTCTAGTCCAAAACCTAAATTATGCCTGGTTTGTCACATCGGCGACTCGGATTATCCGTGATCTTGGAAGTTGGAACTGTCGCCTCTCCTCTCCATTAAAGAAATGAAGACTTATTATCGCCGGACACCGGATTACATTACATTACACGATCGACTTTGTTAGCTAGCTAGCCGCATTTCATGACTAAATTATGTTGGAGCCCAGTGTGTGATTGGTGGTGCCGAAAGGGGAGGGTGAGTTGGAGCACGCATGGCATGGACCATTGCAAGCACCTTTTTGGTGACATGCCAATGGATGTAGCCGATCCAAGAACCTTCCGATATGAGTGAGTGAGGAAGAAACAACAGCATCGGTATATCTGGTTCAGTGCTAACTGAGCTGTTCGCCGGCTCCCCATACCATGAAGTGGCACGACGTACGGCATCCAAGACCACTACTCCAAGGTTAATTAGCCAATGAGCAGACAATAGCTAACCAACCAGGGGACAAATCAAATTGAACACCATGCATGCATGATAGGATCTCTAATGCTGCGTGCACGCATATGTCTCTGTTAGAGTTACGTCGAATATAGTATACAAGGTAGGTTACAGTTGGACCTGTAGTTGTATTGTGTTTAGATAGGATATGGAGTCGTGTCCTAGTAGGATACTGGAATCCTAGGCCTCTCATATATAGCGGGGATAGACACACGATGTAACCTATGCCAGCATAATAGCACAGGAACGCAGGGGAAGCCGGCGGCATGTGCCGGCGTCCAGGGCGACCGGGTGCGGTATTGTGACGGTATAACAGGGAGGAGCACCCGTAGTCAGGCCCCGGGGATGTAGCCATATTGGTGAACCTCGTTAACAAATCTCGGTGTCGTGCATGTGATTGCTTGGTCCTCATATGATCGACGGTATGCCTCGGATTTATTCTAACAGCCTCCAAGCTCAACCGGCAAGAACAACAACATACAGCTATAGTACTGCTGCTAGCTCGTTGGCTATGGAATTCATTGACAAGTGACAGCATCACTAACCCAATCCCCTCTTCTTTAACATTTTTAGAGCATCTCCTTGAAAAGCTTTAACTCCTTAAAAATTTTGTTTTGAGGAGTTAAATTGGACCTAGTCGAACCCTTATTTAGTTTAACTCACCAAAATTATAAGCGGTGCGTCGGCTGGACTTCAAATTTAAGAGGCTGCAACCACTTCTTGGGATAATTTTGGCCTCTTTCCCCTGCCAGCCCGCATCGATGTCGTAGTTGCCTCTGGCGTCCACCCATAGCCTCCGCCACGCTGCCTCCACTCCGTAGCCTCCGTCGACCTCCTGCCCCCCTTCAATTCGCTTGCCTGCCGTCATCATTGCCGGAATCGACCATATTGCCGTCGCTGCCATCCCTTGGACGAAAAAACTCACCTCCAAGATTGGTTCATTCCAAAATAGAGTCGACGCACAATCGTGATGTCGTAGAGCACGCGCCGAGGAGCTAGACGGTGTCAGAGCTTATATGGCGGCCGACAAGCACAACTTGAGGAGAATTTTCCTCCTACGAAGCTAGCAGACCGTCACGCAACCCCGCCGCCGACCCATAGCCTCGACATCGCATCAACATTGTCGGCCAAGGCTCTCACCATTGGAAATATGCCCTAGAGGCAATAATAAAATGGTTATTATTATTTTTCCTTGTTCATGATAATTGTCTATTGTTCATGCTATAATTGTATTGATCAAAAACCGTAATACATGTGTGAATACATAGACCACAACAAGTCCCTAGTGAGCCTCTAGTTGACTAGCTCGTTGATCAAAAGATGGTCATGGTTTCCTGACTATGGACATTGGATGTCATTGATAAGGGGTTCACATCATTAGGAGAATGATGTGATGGACAAGACCCAATCCCAAGCATAGCACAAGATCGTGTACTTCGTTTGCTAAAGCTTTTCTAATGTCAACTATCATTTCCTTAGACCATGAGATTGTGCAACTCCCGAATACCGTAGGAATGCTTTGGATGTACCAAATATCACAATGTAACTGGGTGGCTATAAAGGTGCACTACAGGTATCTCCGACAGTGTCTGTTGGGTTGGCACGAATCGAGACTAGGATTTGTCACTCCGTATGACGGAGAGGTATCTCTGGACCCACTCGGCAATGCTGAAGGAAATATGCCCTAGAGGCAATAATAAAGTTATTGTTTATTTCCTTATTTCATGATAAATGTTTATTATTCATGCTAGAATTGTATTAAACGGAAACATGATACATGTGTGAATACATAGACAAACTAAGTGTCACTAGTATGCCTCTAATTGACTAGCTCGTTTATCAAAGATGGTTATGTTTCCTAGCCATGGACAAAGAGTTGTCATTTGATTAACGGGATCACATCATTAGGAGAATGATGTGATTGACTTGACCCATTCCGTTAGCTTAGCACTTGATCGTTTAGTATGTTGCTACTGCTCTGGGCCCACTCGGTAATGCACATCACTATAAGCCTTGCAAGCATTGCAACTAATTAGTTAGTTGCAAGATGATGTATTACGGAACGAGTAAAGAGACTTGCCGGTAACGAGATTGAACTAGGTATTGAGATACCGATGATCAAATCTCGGGCAAGTAACATACCGATGACAAAGGGAACAACATATGTTGTTATGCGGTTTGACCGATAAAGATCTTCGCAGAATATGTAGGAGCCAATATGAGCATCCAGGTTCCGCTATTGGTTATTACCCGGAAACGTGTCTCGGTCATGTCTACATAGTTCTCGAACCCGTAGGGTCCGCACGCTTAAGGTTTCGATGACAGTTATATTATGAGTTTATGTGTTTTGATGTACCGAAGGAGTTCGGAGTCCCGGATGAGATCGGGGACATGACGAGGAGTCTCGAAATGGTCGAGACGTAAATATCGATATATTGGACGACTATATTTGGACTTCGGAAAGGTTCCGAGTGATTCGGGTATTTATTGGAGTACCGGAGAGTTACGGGAATTCGTCGGGGAGAAGTATTGGGCCTTATTGGGCCATACAGGAATGAGAGAGGGGCTACCTAGGGTAGCCCCCCCCCCCCAAGTCCTAGTCCGAATTGGACTAGGGGAGGGGCTGCGCCCCCTCCTTCCTTCCCTTCTTTCTTCCCTTTCCTTGACTCCTACTCCTACTACATGGAAGGGGGGAATCCTACTCCCGATGGGAGTAGGACTCCCCAGGGCGCGCCATAGTTGAGGGCCGGCCCTCCCCCTCCTCTCCTCCTTTATATACGGAGGAGGGGGGCACCCCATAGACACAACAATTGATCTCTTCATCTCTTAGCCGTGTGTGGTGCCCCCCCTCCACCATAGTCCTCCTCGATAATATTGTAGCAGTGCTTAGGCGAAGCCCTGCGACAGTAGAACATCAAGATCGTCACCACGTCGTCGTGCTGACGGAACTCTCCCTCGACACTCGGCTGGATCGGAGTTCGAGGGACGTCATCGAGCTGAACGTGTGCTAGAACTCGGAGGTGCCGTAGTTTCGGTGCTTGATCGGTCGGGCCGTGAAGATGTACGACTACATCAACCGCGTTGTGCTAACGCTTCCGCTTTCGGTCTACGAGGGTACATAGACAACACTCTCCCCTCTTGTTGCTATGCATCACCATGATCTTGCGTGTGCGTATGATTTTTTTTGAAATTACTACGTTACCCAATAGTGGCATCCGAGCCAGGTTTTATGCGTAGATGTTATATGCACGAGTAGAACACAAGTGAGTTGTGGGCGATACAAGTCATACTGCTTACCAGCATGTCATACTTTGGTTCAGCGGTATTGTTGGATGAAGCGGCCCGGACCAACATTACGCGTACGCTTACACGAGACTGGTTTTATCGCCGTGCTTTGCACACAGGTGACTAGCGGATGTCAGTTTCTCCTACTTTAGTTGAACCGAGTGTGGCTATGCCCGGTCCTTGAGAAGGTTAAAACAGCACTAACTTGACGAACTATCGTTGTGGTTTTGATGCGTAGGTAAGAACGGTTCTTGCTCAGCCCGTAGCAGCCACGTAAAACTTGCAACAACAAAATAGAGGACGTCTAACTTGTTTTTGCAGGGCATGTTGTGATGTGATATGGTC